CTGGGCATCTACCCAGCGGGACGTAAACTGGTAGTAGATTCGCAAGGGAGGATAAAAATCACTGCACTTTACCCTGACTGGCCCCGGGATGTCATTATACAGGCTATACCGCATTCGACGGGCCACCACGGTCCTGAATGAAGTGAGATGCACGCCGTATGTCGGAAAAAGGTCAACAGCCAAAACATTACCATTTTCTCATTTACGGTCCATTTCCCGGAAATGGGGAGGTGTGGCTGCGTACATCATTTGAATGTGGCAGCGACTGGTCGGGTGTTGCTATTTGAAGACCATTGTAATCATGTCGTTGTCTATCATAATACAGGTTGACAGTTGTCTCAAATGGAAGTATTCCACGGAAACGCTTTCTAAACGACACCCAGACAAAGTGCAGCCAAGTCCTCTTCATGTCCTGGACAAAAAGTGTTTGAGATAGCAATGGGTGGAGCGCCCATAAGAGGAAGTCACAATGGTCCAGAAGGCCCCAAAAGTTGCTTACCTACCCCACCATAGTTGCCAGTGCCGCAGAACGGCAAGTTTTTGGGGAAAAGTAGAAACGCTTTTGGAAAAATGGTAGAAAGTTGGGACGACTTAGGAAGGACTGTAGATAGGATAGGAAAGGGGGTCGTACCAGATGAGGAAACTTGCTGGGGATTGCACTGACAACGCGGGAGCAGTCCACGATTTTCTCCTATAGTGATCACCCTTCCACTGAATTCCAGACTGATTACTTTCCGCTTCAGAAGGACTTCGTCTGCGATGAGTGCCAGTTTGCTGCCCGTGAACTGAAGGTGATTGTTGAGGACAAGGAAAAGCAACAGGAAATCCGTGACTTCCTTTCACAGAACGTCTGCAAGCACATCCCACGCTACCAAGGAATGGTTGGTCCAGCAACTACCGTAATCTTACGCCTTCATTTTTTAATCTCAATGTTTTCAGTGTGACATGCTCATTGAACAGTTCCTTCCCGAGATGTTCCAGGAGCTCGACACTATGTTGAAGGACCCCAAGGCTGTCAGTACTCTGCACACAAATTCACGGTTACTAGAGTAATCCAGATATATTTCCAGGCTTGTGCTGATGTTGGTTTCTGCCCGCGTACCAGCCCACCACGCAAGCTGGTAGGATTCATCGGTTTCCTGTCACGTCTGTAAACGTCCTTCCCCGATCCTCGTGTTCAGTTATCCATTTGTTCATTTATCCCTCTGAGGCGTAATGTTACTATAATACATGGTGCAATTGCTATATTCTGCTTATTAAGGGTTATTAAATAAAGTTACTCGTTGCTTTATCCATTCTGTACCTTTGTGCGTCGAAAGTCCAGAAATGAAGTGATGTAAGTGTTGTCGTCGGTCCTGACACGAATACGATACAAATGGTTTTGAAACGGAAGTGTTAGATGCTTACATCTATAATGAACATAAACTTCCGAAAAATTCCGTTTGGGACTTATTCGCTCCCATGTTGTTGTAAAAGTTGCTTGACCTAGACAGAAATATGGGCGCAGATCGGCTGGGGTACGGCGGAGGGGGCACGTTTCCTCCTTCGCTACTTCTATCGTCGACCTCACGGCTTCATATTTTACAGGTCTCTACTTAATCGCTCGACAGTCGTTGGAAATCACAAGAATGCTGGTTTATGGGCAAAAGTCGTACCCCAGGCGCGGAGTCGAACTCGCACCTCACGCTTTCGCGGTCCATCCGTCACGCATACGCCACCAGGACGCTCTTACGCTCTCTAGCTTACGACCCGACTCACCAAGTTAAACGTGTGAGTCTGTTAAGGCCTTCAGAAAGTTGTTGGAAAATTTGCTCGAAAGTCGTAAATCCCCCCCTCCCCCTTCGCCCCTTCACATACGAACTAACCCGCAACTGACGCTGTTTCCTATGAGTTGCATTATATATGTATACCTGTTGGCCAGTACATTGATAAGGAGTATGAGAATCGTCGTACGTAGAATTGTCGTTTATGTAATTGGATATGATATTCGTGTTCACCCGTTTAGGTCGAATTACCCCTAAAGCCCAAATTTCAGCCATATCTGCCCTCGTAAAAAGAAGTCAAGTTGTCCTGCTCACAAGCTACCTACCAGCTTAACGGATCCTCCAGCTGCCTACCAGTTTTCAAAGAATCCTCCAGTTTTTTTTTCCAAAATTTGGCGTCGAGCGGGAAGTCTCCCTTCAATCAACAGTTAGGTTCAGCTATCGGAAATAATAGCTATATAGAAGCTTTGTGGCGTCGCCGGCTGGGGAGGGGGGGTACATCGTATACCGGGAAACGGGACGAATCGACATCTAGGTATTTCCTTTTGTGACTCGGAAAGAGTCCTGTCCGAAACCACCCCTTCGTTACACAGAGAAGGATTTCCCGACCCGGTCCCAACGATGCTGTGAATTGGTGAACCTTTCGGGAGGCACATGGACTAGGGCCCCACTAGCCATCAATATCATTTTAACACCTCAGCTGTTCCAGAAAAGGTGCTCCGCCAGATACTTGTTGCGCACTTCTCTAGCTTTAATCATACAGTCCTTGTGAAATACGGTTTCGGACATCTATTTCCCTACATGCGCAATTTCTTTAATTTAGCCTTTGCTGGGATAGGAGGGTCGAGCAGTGCGTCTGGTCAACCATTCGACATTTCTTCCAGTGTTTCGAATGCCCTCTATGTGGTCAGACGCGATCATTTTAGTTCAGCCATAAGTTCTGCAATAGTTCCCAATGAGCAGCTCTCACTTCTGCTCAGAAGCACGAAGAATGCGCAGCTGACCAGGTTCTTGCTTAGAGCTGAAAAACTTGCTGCCAATGCTCGCTATCTATCAGTATCATTTGATACTGTGGCGACTGGCAATGTTTTACAAGAGCAGCGGACTCGCGAGGGCGCGGGAGTGAGCTGGGGAGAAAAGAAGCTATCAGAAGCTCTGACAGCGTCGATTTGCTTACCTTGTAGCACAATAGCCCATAGTTACGCTTTGTCAGGGCGTTCAAACAAAAAAGATAGCGCTAACTCCAATTCCGCCTAGTACAGCCGCACTTGAATATAATCTGATTGAATAACTTTGACTACAGCGTCAAACGCTCCTCTGTGCTGTACCTAAGCGCTCCAGAACCGCCTGAAAGATGGTCAAGTTCTTTCCTTTTCAGACCGCCCCTCATGCGGACACCCCGATTCATCCGATGTATGCCTTCTTCCGTGCAGCAAAAACTATCGAAACGCCAACCGGCAGCGTCCTCATGAGTTGCTTGGAATGCAAGGTCGCCGTGGAGGAGGCAGTCAACGGTCTTGTCAAAGATAGGGTCAGTAAGTTCCATTCAGTTCGGCAAGTTGCCACGCCTTATCATTATGAATATTGCTGCGCCACCAAGAAGCTCGAAGAGTCCTAAGAAGAGGGGTTCTATTCGCGTAACATTGCTGCTAGGTTCAAGTCAACTTGCTGCGCGGTTAAAGGTACACCTTGCAGTTATAGTTCAGAAGCAGCGGGTTGAAAGCAGAAACCCTCGAAAACGCCTATTATGAGGTCCTTCCTGCTGGGGGTGATTCCAAGCGAAAGGTAAAGCTTCGTCCAGAGAGATCAAAGTAGCAGGACGAGATAGCGCGCTGAGCAAGAAGGCAGCCAAAAAACCGGGTGGAGTTGCTTTTCGTATAGGTGGAGCCACTTGAGCAACTTCACTCCTCAGCTTTCTAGCCTAACAACTCTCTGACGCGAATCTGAAATAGCTTTGAGCGCTTATTGTTAGGCTCACAAAACATTTCTTCGCACAAGGTACAAAGGATTTCGGTTCTTATAAGTGAAACGGATACTTGTAGGAAAACGAGACTTTTTTATTTACCAGTTTTAGCAGATTTATCCTGAGGCGATATTTTTATAGAATGAGCAGGCTGCAGCCGTCCAGAAGTTTGCCTGTCACGAGCTATTGCCATCGAACTTCTCGGCCAGTTGCGACGATTTCCTCAGTCTTTACCTACCTACCGTACTCTACATGACTTGGGAGCAGATCACACCGGAAGGCTTCTGCACTGAAAAAATGAAGTCGTGTGACTCCATTTCAAGTGAGTGTTGAGCACATTTTTTTCTTGCATTTCAGATATTGCCCGCAGAACCAAAATTGGCTTACATTTCATATCCCGACGCCCACAAACGGCGTGCTTATGGGTTCAGTTGTGGGCGCGGTGCAATTTTGGAATGTTGCTGGTCCAAAGAAAAAATAGCAACTCAGCCCTTGGCGCTGTCTAAATCACAGTTCTTCGCCTAGACCGCAGCTCTTCATGCCCTACCAGCCCTAAACCGGCAGCATATAAACCGTCATCCGGGCACTTGATTAGGGCGGCAAGGGTCGCGACGCGGCTGCGGCGTGTCACGAGCGCGGCGATCAGCTGTTTCCAGCCTATTTTAGCCATTTTCTCCCTAATTTACACTGTTATGGCTGCTTTTCTCGAGATTAGTTGTTCCTTGTCTTCACAAGGTAAATTATGATTGAGATTCCTCTGATTTTTGCGTACAATTAAACAGTTAAGCAGACAATTGAACAAATACCTGAAAAAAATCGCAAAAACACTCTATGCAAAAACAAAAAAGACTCCACGCCCTCATGTACTTCATAAAGACAATAAAACAACTAACCTAAAAAATAGAAAATGCAGTGAAAATTAGGGAGAAAATGGCCAAATTAAAAGCTGATCGCCGCGGTCGTGACGCGCTGCAGCCGCGTCGCGACCCTTGCCGCCCTAATCAGTGCCCGGATGACGACTGTACGCAGTTGCGACCGCGCCCACAGCACATTGGACACCCCCCCCCCTTTCGCTTGTGGTATGAACAGTAATTTTAAGGTTTCTCGCATAACACTTAACCTTGAGTCTCTATCTATATGTTCCAGTGTCCCGACTCTCTTCAATGTCGAAATCGGTTGTCAGGAGTTTCAGCTGCCACACATGCAGTGGAATGCAGAAATATTACCAGGTTTGTTCCTACGAATCTTCCACTCGCCGCCTCAAAAATCAAATGTACGTTCCTGCTCCTATCCTCTCGATGCAGGAAAGTTGCGTTGAACGGAGACTACAAGTCAGGAGATCCACGCTGCGTTGACGCCATGTCGCAAGTGAGGTCACTCACGTAGTACGCAAGAGGGCCTACTCGAATCAAAGTGGAGATATTGCATTGTGTCGAGTCGACTAATTGGGGAATCGGGGCATTTCCCGGCGTTAAGGAGAACTTTCGCTAAACGCAACCCTTTTCCAGAATCGACCAGTCATCTTACTTTCTCGAAAATTTGCTTTGAGTAGGTGGGTGGGGGGGGCGCCCTCCACATCCGAGATCTCCAACCTGCGAACAGTACCATTTAGGTAGTGCAAGTGGCCGCAGCGCGGATCTCCTAACCAACACCTGATGAGCGGCTAGCTAATGAGTAAACGAGACGCGACAATGTGACATTATTAGCAAGTTTCAGACAATGATGGATCGTCCAGTGACCATGCAGTTCCAACAATTCGTGGTAGACGAGCTGAAGCGCTCCGTCTGCGATCACACTGCAATCCTCGCAACTACGGTAGGTTATTTCAGAAGGATTCTTTGAAAACGAGAATGTATTCCATGAAGCATGAAATTCGCTTACTGAAAAGCTCGCTGTCGGAGCAGATCAGGCTCCTTTTGGATTCTGTGGAGGCAGTGATTTGTGAGGCTGAGTACCGCCAGTCACGGTATTTCATCGTTTCGAACGAGTTTGACCAACTCGTTGATTCAGTGAGATGGAAGGCTGAACTGGAGGGACATTCCGCTACCCAGTTGTTTCCTAGATCATTGGCGCCGTAGAGGCAGCCTTCTCTGCCTGTTGTTTCTGCCTGCGCACCCCCTCCCTCTCCCCAATTGTCAAATTTCATTATGTAACTCGATGAGTTTTTGATTTCATGCATATGTTTGTAGCTAACCGGTTTGCCTGATGCTGATTTTTATGATTAAATTTATTTTAGTGCGATCGTTTTGTGGAAGGTGTGGTTCCACGCCTTATTAGCAAATTTGCCGATATTAGCAAATCCGAAGACTTTTGTGCAAAGGTAGGTCTTGCTACGACTCTTTACGGCACTTTTGCGGAATACACTCGTTCTTTGCTGGCCATGCCGACCTCTTAGATTGCCTTTCGAAGCGAACTACAGCTGGCTTGACTTTGAAAATAAACTGTGCACTCATCTCCATGGATCTTGGTCTTGCCCAATATGGGAGTGATGGGTCCATAGCTGTAGTACCGTACCACTTTCTCTGTTCAAAAGTGCACGGGAACGGGACGGAGGGGAGTGATACGATTGATATTATACCCCTCCGCTCTGCCGCATGGCTAGCAACACGCCTAACCATAGCCAAACGGGCTATGTGCCTGCAGCCTGCATGCTTCGCTGCGGGACGTTGGTATCGACAGAAGCGCTGCCCCTTGAGGCGGAGTACAAAGGCGTCATCCGGGTGTCGCTTCCCAACATCCCCCTTCCTGAGCACTTTTGCGGAGAATGTGTA